TGCCCTGAGGGGGTGAGGGAGTGACAGGGGGGGTGAGGGAGTGACGCCCTGAGGGGGTGAGGGAGTTACGCCCTAGGGGGGGTCAGGGAGTGACGCCCTGGAGGGGGTGAGGGAGTGACGCCCTGAGGGGGTGAGGGAGTGACGCCCTGGGGGGGTGAGGGAGTGACGCCCTGGAGGGGGTGAGGGAGTGACAGTGGGGGTGAGGGAGTGACGCCCTGAGGGGGTGAGGGAGTGACGCCCTGGGGGGGGGTGAGGGAGTGACGCCCTGGGGGTGGTGAGGGAGTGACGCCCTGGGGGTGGTGAGGGAGTGACGCCCTGGGGGTGGTGAGGGAGTGACGCCCTGGGGGGGTGAGGGAGTGGTGCCCTTGGGGGGGTGGTGGTGGTGAGTGAGTGATGCCCTGGGGGGGGTGAGGGAGTGACACTCTGGGGGTGAGGGAGTGGTGCGCTGGGGTGGTGGGGGGTGAGGGAGTGATGCGCTGGGGTGGTGAGGGAGTGACGCCCTGGGGGGTGAGGGAGTGACGTCGCTGTGCGCCACCGCTGCCCCGTGTAGGCAGGAGCGACGCGGCGTCGTGCAGGAGGAGTGACGCTGCGGCGCCATGGCGCACGCCGCCTCGCAGATGAAGAAGTCTCGGGACGTGGTGGTGCCCAGTGAGGAGCCTGGAACCCCCGGGGGAGTGGGCGTGGGGGGGGGGAGGAGGAGGTGGGGGGGACAACGGCGGTGACGCGGACTCGGCGCGGCCCAAGCGCAGTGGGGGCAGCACCCGCAGGCGCAGCACGGAGCGCAGGCGCAAGGTGAGTGGGGGGGGGCAGGGGGTGAGTGGGGCGGTGAGACGAGGGCTGAGTGGGGTGGGATGCTGGTCCCCGTAAGGGTCGGAGTTCAGGGCATGCTGTGGCGCACGCGCCGCTGTCTGGGCCCTGCCCACGACACAACGATGAACCGGCAGCCGGAATGGGGGAAACGGCGGAGATGGATGCGTGGACAGTGCCCCTTCTTAGCGATCAACAGCGACTTGACAATCGCTGGGTCAGACAAGCGAGCCCTGCTGCGGTGTCGAGGCGCAGAACGGACGGGCGACCTCGGTGGTGTAGGGGTCCGGACAGATCTGCGGTGGAAGGCAACGCCCGGGCCACTGCCAAAGCTCTCTGTTATTGGCGGGGACTGGCCGTGGCACGTGCTCTGAGCTGGGTCGGTGTGCCTTCCTGCCTGTTGACTCCGTGACCCCGGTACAATGGAGGATCCCGCAGAATCAGCGGTGGCTGCTCTTGAACGTCTTTGTGTGTGTGTGTATGTGTCTGTGAGGTGTGTGTGGGGAGCGGGAGTGTAGCGGTTAGCGCGCTACACTACAATCACGGCCACCCGAGTTCGATTCCCACTCACGGCCAACAACAGTGACGATATATTTGAACCGGTCTTGGATCTACCATCGGTCGACACAGCCTTAAATGAGTACCTGATGCGGTGCGCAAACATCAGCATTGGGGAGACAAAGGCGGCCAGGCGTGGTGTTGACCACCCACCCCCTCGGGTGCCATGCCGGCCTTAATAGGTGCGCGCTAACAGCACGTACCTTAATAGTCTGTGAAATTCTCTCTGGAGAATTGTTGTCTTTGTGTGGATGGCTCCTTACTGGTCAACCGTCTTACATATGCTGATGATGTGATGGTTAGAGCTGCGGAACCTGGAGCGTGCCACTATGAGGTGGGGCCTTGCCAGCAGCCCCACCAAAACTAAGCATCTGCCTGGGTATATCATTCAATACACCACTTTCTCAACTCCTGCTGAGTGATGGGGCAGTTTTGAAGAGCGAGTGGAGACGTTTCCGTACATGGGTAGGTGTGCTTATGACCAACTCCGGTTCGGCAGCAGAGGTCTCGCTCAGAATCATCCGAGTGGCATTCTTTTCGCCAGCTGCATAACACTGTTTGGAAGCTACCCTGGTCTGTCGCGCCACACGTAGCTTCGGTTCTTCTCGTTCACAGGCATGCCCTCCCTTCTGTACGCTTGCGAAATGTGGAACACTTTATAGGAACATCTGCGCCAATTTGAATTATTCGGGCCTACGCTCCATCCTGGGTTTAACCAGGCTAGATTGTGTAAGGTGCTCACAAATCCTCGAAAGATCTGGACGCAGTCTCATTGATGAGCTCCTCCAGCAGGCGAGGCGGCGTTGGCTGGGTCATGTAGCTAACATGCCGATCCACCGCATGGTTAAACAGACGCTGTTTGACCCTGTGGTGGCTGGGCATTCGCATGGAGGGGGCTAAAAAAAGCACAGCACGAGCTAGAGAAGAGATGGAATTATGCGGGTACCAAAGGATGTGGAGCTGATTGAACTTGCCGATCGCTGGTACCAGTGGTGTCAACATCGGCTTCTGTGGAGGAGGCTGTTGGGCAGTTGGAGGCAGTTTCCCTCCAGTGACAGAGGAGCGATGCCTGCAACGTTGAGCCACGCGCCAGACAGTTAAAACTCAGAAAGTTGGCACAGTTGGAGTCACAGCTGGTCCATCTGCCGGCCATCTCAGCCAGTCAATCCATAGCACCTGGGTTTGTTCCGTGACCTGCCAGCGAGCCTTCAACACTTCACATGGCCTCAAAGTGCGCATAGCCTGGCACAAGCACTGTGGTGATGTCATTACTGCTTAGTGGCAAATGGTGGCTGTTGTGTATGTGTGTGATGGGGCGCGGTAGTGTAGCAGCTATATCACTGCGCTACGAACCCGTCGACCAGGGTTCGATTCCCGCTCACGGCCAATACCAGTGAAAATTATTTTAACTGGTTCTGGATCTCCCCTAGGTCGACTCACCCTCAAATGAGTACCACGTGCTGTATGTGTAAACATCGCCACTGGGGAAACAAAGACGGCCGGGCGTGCTGTTGGCCACCCACCCCCTCGTGTGCCATGCTGGCTTTCATAGGTACTCGCTAACAGCACTTGCCCCAAAAGTCTACTAAGGCTATACGGGGGGTCTTTGTCTTTGTACGTGTGTATCTCTGTGTGTGTATCTCTGTGTGTATGTATCTGTGTGTGTGTGTGCACGTCTGTATTATTAGAGACTCTATGGAGCAGCTATTTCTGACGCTCGCATCTGCTTTTGCCGCGCGCTATGCGTGGTATGCGCGAGCTATGCGTGAGCTATGTGGGTGTGTGTGAGCTACGTGTGTGTGTGAGCTGTGGTTGTGCCATGGTGGCGAGATGTTAACTCCCTCGCCTGGGTATGGAGGAGGTGGTGGGTTCGATTCCGACCCTGACGCCTGCTGTATATTTGGAGATTGTGTGTCTCTCAACCCGTGGTCGCGTGGATTTTTCTCCAGGTCCTCCGGTTTTTCACGTCACATTTATTTGTGGCCAGGTGGCCTCTGAAAAATAGCTATACAGCTCAGAGGACCCTTCCTGGGAAAAAAAGTGTTTAGTTGATAGTTTAGTTTGTATTCCTATGCACGTATTGTGCATATACGCATATGCCGTGCCGGCATTTGTAGGTGCTTCCCGCTAATAGCACTTGCCCCCAAACAGCCTGTTAGGGCTACACGGGGGATATTTGTCTTTGTACGTGTGTGCACACCCACAGTGTGAATGTGGCATAAACATGGCCAGTGCCTCCTCCCACGCGGGGCACCCGCGTGTTCAGTAGCAGTGGCTCGCAGCGAGCGGCTTGCAAATCGGAAGGATTCAAGCAGGGGAGTGACTTGCACCAGCATCGATTTTCCTACAGATAGACCCGCCCCTGTCATAGGAATGTTGAATTTCCACCACTGGCTCGGGGCCGCAGACAAGAGATGAGTACAAATGCCTCCACGCTCACTCTTGACTTTGAATAACAGTGAATGATGTGATGCCCATGTGAGGCGAGTAGGTTATCCAATCATCCAGGATTACTCTGGCATGACAAAAGCTTTCCCACGTTAGCTGGCACCGGTGTCTCTTCTGGCCCGTGGACATTTAGCGACATCGCGTACATCCCGCTGTGTTCACCGTGGGGAGTAGAGGCAGTGCTTTGGCCGGTCATCTCAGTCTGTTAACCCATGACACCTGGGTCTGTACCATGACCTGCCAGCAGGCGTTGCTGACTTCACGTGACGGCCTTAAAGTGCACCTAGCCTGGCACAAGCACGTGCAATGGCGGTCACTGTTGGGTGCACACGCGCGTGTTCGCGTGCGCGTGCGGGGAGCAGTAGCTTTTGTGCTGCGCTACGAACCCCGGCAACTCGAGTTCGATTCCTGCTCGTGACCAATACCGGTGACGATTATCTGAACCACTGATGGGCCTCCCCGAGGTCGACTCAGCCTCAAATGAGTACCCGGTTGCGATACGTAAACATCGCCATTGAGGAGGTAAAAGTGGCCTTGTGTGGTGCTGGCCACCCACTCTCTTGTGTGCCGTGCTAACCCTCATAGGTGTGAATCACTAATAGCACTTGCCCCAGCAGTCTGTGTGGGTTACACATTAGGAACTTTGTCTTTTGTGTGCACGTGCGTGTATGCAACATCTCGGTTGCCCTCCGTGTAGGCGACTCCTCGTCACCAGTCTCGGGCCAGCATCACGACCACAGCTGACTATGGTGGTGGCGATGGTGGCGAAGTGGTCTGCGCTGGGTAGCGGTCTATGCGCCTACGCGCGTTTAGTCCGAAAGCCTCATGGAGTCTCAAGACTCTTTTTCAGGAGGGTCCAGCCCAGTTGTACGCATGAGGAAGCGATGCTACTGCTGTGTGTGATCCCAGTTGAGTTGGTTGCAGGCCGGGTCGTTTTGGCGAATGCCACTTACATTGTGTGGGCTTTATTAGCTGCGTGTGCGTGCACGATGGTATTGCTGCGTGCAGTGCGGTGTGCGCGTGGGGTGTAGCGCGGCGTGCGTGAGGGGTGTAGTGTGGCGTGCGTGTGGGGTGTGTGCGTGAGGCGTTGCACGGTGTACGTGTGAGGTGTGCGCGTGGGGTGTGCGAGGTGGGGTGTAGTGTGGGGTGTGCGAGTGGGGTGCACGTGCCCTGTACGCACAGTAAAGTGCGTCTGCCACCATGACTCCTCCCTCCCACCGTGCATGAAATCCTGACTCCAGAAATAGCGCGCGGATCACGTTACAGACGCCCTTGCCTGGCCACGAGCCTTGGGCACTCACACCCACCACACCGCACGGGCGCGGGCAGCCACAGTCCCTCCAGGCATAGGCAGCCCCTGTCCCAGGCAGTCCCAGGGACTCTTTTTCCGAGGCGGTCGCAGGGACTCTCTCTCTCGCTGCCTCCCTCTCGAGTCCAACTGGGACGTTACTGGGAGTCGCAAGGCTCGAGTGCGAAGAGGAGGTGTGGGAGGTGGAGGAGAAAGAGGAGGAGGAGGCTCAGGAATGGGAAACGCTCCGCTCTGCGCTGGAGGGAAGAGCGAAGATGTAGACACCGAGGTGAGGGGTTGCTGGTGAGCAGTGGTGAGCGGCACAAGCTCCTCGCCATTGATGTGATGGGACGTGGTGGGATGTGATGGGTCGTGATGGGTCGTGATAGATTGCAATTTTGTCACAATTTTGCTGGGTGGTGCAGCAATAAGTTACGATGTGTCACGATGCAATGAGTCTCAATGCGATGAGTTGTGATGCGATTGCTCATTATTAGAAGGGTCACGATGTGGCGGCTCGCAGTGGGTCACGTGGTGTGGGTCATAATGCAGTTGGTCGCGACACAGCGGGTCACGATGTGTGGGTCATAATGCGGTGCAGGTCGCGTTGCGGTGGTCCGCGTTGTATGGGTCGCGTTGTGGTGGTCGCGTTGCGGTGGGTCGCGTTGCGGTGGGTCGCGATGCGTGGGTCGTGATGCGGTGGGTCGCAATGCGGTGGGTAGTGATGTGTGTGTGCAAATGCTGTGAGCAAGCACCTATGAAGGTCTGTTAGAGGATATACGGGGGATCTTTGTGTGAGAAAGTCAGAGCGAGTGTGCGAGAGTGTGTGTGTGTTTGTGAGTGTGTGTGTGTACATGCCCAGCCACCGCATGCCTAAGCAACTTCTTTTTGGCTGGATAGAGGGAACATAACGGGCACGACATGGGCTATAGAAGAGTTGGGCTGATGTGGTACAGAAGGATGTGCAGCTGAGTGGACTTGCCTATGACCAATACCAGCGGTGTGAAGATCAGCTTCGGTTGAGGAGGCTCGTGAAGGACGCTACTGGGCAGTTGGAGGCAGTCGCCCTCCAGCAACAACGGAGGGCAGAGGAGCGATGCTCACAACAATGAGTGGAGCGCCGAACAGATAAAACGCAGCGAGTTCTATGTATGTTGAACTTCTTTTGCGCCGTACGTAGCCGACCGTGCGAATTGAAGGTTGGTACAGTGGGGAGCACAGGTGGTGCATCTGCCATTCGTCTCAGCCGGTCAACCCACAACAACACCTGGGTCTGTCCCATGACCTCCTATCAGCAAGCCTTCAACACGTGATGGCCTCAAAAGTGCTAGTCTAGTGCAAGCACTGTGGTAACATCACCGTCACTTGTTGTTGGTTGTATTTGTTGACGCGAGTAAGAAGCATTTGGCAGTCAGCTGTTTAACAAGAATGACACCGTGGGGCAGCTTGGTCAGGAAAATAATCAGTTACAGCGGCATATAAATCCTAACATTGCAGACACAGAGCAGCAAACACATTGGAGGACAACAACATATGGGTCACACAACACTCGAGTATCTAAACTAAACTAACTTAAACAATTTTTTATTTTACCAGGCAAGGGTCCACTGAGCTATATAGCTCTTTTTTCAGAAGCGACCTTGCAATCACAGATCATCGTTTAACGAAGTGGCTTATCGCGTGGAAATTTGTAGCAGCCAAATACTCTGAACGCGTGTTGATTCTAAATTGTGGATAGAAAAACTGGAGGACCCGGAGAAAAATCCACGAGACAATTAGGAAAGTGACCATGCAAACTCTAAATATACAACAGGCGTCAGGGTCAGGATCGAACCCACGACCTCCTTTATACCAGGCAAGGTAGTTAACATCTCTTAGCCACCGTGTCAACTCAGAAGATGCGCATTGCCTGCCAGGTGATGCGCATCATCAACTCTGTGCCGCTGTGTCGGAACCGAGTCCGCTAACCACGTGTGCAGGGATCTGGCACGGGTATCAGAAATATAATGCGATCTCGCGCGGGGGGTCCGCTAACCGCATCGGGGTATCTTAAATCAAGCCGCCATTCGCCGCAGTTTTGCGGCGAATGGCGGCCGTTGTTGTTGAGCAAGCGTGAACGTATCTGTGAATGTGTGTGAGAGAGAGAGAGACACGAAGATAGTTGGGATGGGTGGGATGCGGTGAAGCCTTCACGGTGAATGACCCCAGGGAATCGCGCGGTGAATTCAGCTGCTGCGTGCACATGTACCCTGCTCGCGCTTCCCGTGCCGTGGCGGTTCTCGTAGGGCCTGGATACGTGGAATAGCCACTCGACCAATATGCAAATCGCTCCTCTCTCGCTACTGCCCATGGTCACCGTTCCCGTGAACTTCACTCATTGGTTCCTCCATCCGTGTTGAGAACTCCACCCAAGGTCCACCAGACGCTGGCCGCGTCATCTCTCATCCATACCGTGTTCAACCGCCACACTGCAGGCCTCAACACACTCACCCACCCGTTCACTCACCCACCCACTCACCCATTCACAGACTCAAATACTTAACTCACCCACTCATCACACTGCAGGTCTCAACACACTCACCCACCCACTCACCCATTCACAGACTCAAATACTTAACTCACCCACTCATCACACTGCAGGTCACAACACACTCACCCACCCACTCACCCATTCACAGACTCAAATACTTAACTCACCCACTCATCACACTGCAGGTCACAACAGACTCACCCACCCACTAACCCATTCACAGACTCAAATACTTAACTCACCCACTCATCACACTGCAGGTCACAACACACTCACCCACCCACTCACCCATTCACAGACTAAAATACTTAACGCACCCACTCATCACACTGCAGGTCACAACACACTCACCCACCCGTACACTTTTAAATCTAGATTGAAAATGAATGTCTTCAAGACTGCTTATTGAGTTTAGTTTGTTGTCCTTACCCCGCACCTCTGATTACCACAGTTGGCTACGTATGGTGCTAAATAAGCTCAACATGCAAACATGCACCCACTCATTCACCAACTCAAATGTTCACCCACTCACCGCACTGCAGGTCACCACTTCTCATTCTGATTCTTCCCTCGCGCTGCTCTGTTTGGGAATTTATTTCCTCCCGTCATCAACGTCTCTTCTCGCCAGGCTCTCGCAACAAAACACCTGGCTCACATCGAGAACCCTCTTGACGTTTGTGTCCTTTGGGACTCTGCTCGGTCACTATTTTTTTATATGTATTAAAAAAAAATGTGTGCGCATGAGTTCTATTGGGAAAATGTCATAGATTATAACCACAGCCACACGCAGTGAAATTAGCAATGGCCTTGATTCATCGCAGTGTGAGTGGCTGTGGGGGGCAAGCCAGTGAGTGAGGCTGGGGCTCAGTTCGGAGCGGGCGGGGGGGGGATGAGGTGTGACAGTGGTGTTGGAGTGCAGCCCTGCACACCGTAGACAAGACTGTGTGTGGCGGCTCCATCTTATTATTGCAGCTGTTCCTCACATTCGATGGGAGCCTCTGAGATGGCTGCCTGTGTGAGAGGCTGTGTGAGACCGAGAAGCGGTGAGAGACTGTGCGAGGCTGTGCGAGGCTGCGAGAGGCTGTGTGAAGCTGCGTGAGAGGCTGTGAGATGCAATGAACGAGTTAAGACGCGTGTAGATGACGCGTTGACACCGTGTCCCCATCACGTCGCTGCATTATCCGCTGTGTTTAACGGGCCAATACGGATCCGTTCCAGGGGAAGTCCACTCTGAACTCGAGCCACGCATTCCATCCAGCGCAATGCGCCCCCACGCAACATGCCACTTGCCATCGGGCCAGGGGGTGAAGGCACAGCCAGACGAGCGTGAAGCATATGGCCACGTCCAGGGGTCCAACTGCTTATTTCAACGGTGGGGGGGTGGACCCAGGGGCGGCGGGGTGGGCCCCGGGGCGGCGGCGTGGGCCCCCACCTCCTTTCTCCCGACTCACTTTTACTGAAATAGCTACGGATGTTTTTAACCCCGTATACAATCATATGAAGGCTATAACTATATCTACATCATTGTTCTCTTTTTAATATATATAAAACGTTTCTCTACATTTTTTTACTGGTTTATCTGGTTGATTCGGGGCCCCCCCTTGTGGCCGACCTGGGCCCCGCATAATTCTGCCACATACCCCCCATATTTGCGCCTCCAGCCACATCGCATCGATGACGGAGCCACACACGGTGGTGCTTGTGAAGAAGGCTGGATACGCTGCACTTCTGCATAGTCCAGACGTTCTGGAACCGAGTGCCCCACAGCGATCTCGTTGTGTCGTCGATACAATGCTCCGTAGACGTCCTGCGCAAGTCGCCCAGAGCGGGAGATGGGGGGTAGGGGGGTCGGGGTCGGGGTCGGGTAGGGGTCGCGCTCGTCACACACGCGATGCGCTCCTGCGACGCAACTCGATTGAAGGGGGGGGCGGCTGCGTTGATCACCTTCTGGGACCCCCCTAGGGGGGCAGTAAGAGGCTGCTCAATCTACCGTGCGGAGTTTCGGTGGGGCATCTGTGCATTGGCGTGCGGGGACCGGTGCAGGCTAGGTGAAGCTGAAGCTTGGCCTGAAGGAGCTGCAATTCAAAGTGAAGGAGGTCCGCTTCCGTGGACACATTCCCATCCTCAAAAGGCTTGAAAGCCAACCTCCGGGACAAATTCGGAGCCATCTCAGTATGCCACAGCCCACCGATGTGAAATCGGTGCAGCGATACATCGTGGTTGTGAACTACTGAGCCAAGTTTAAGCCTTGCCTGTCAGAGGTGTGTGTGTGTGTGTGAGCCTGGGACTGCTCCTGGACAATGATGCAGCCTGGCACTGGCATCCAAAACGTTGCGGGGCATAAAGCAGCCGGTCACAGCTATGCCAATGTTCAAGTGGATGCCGCGGTCATGAGATGTTAGCTACCTCGCCTGGTATGCAGGAGGTCGTGGGTTCGTTCCAGACCCTGACGCCTGCTTGTATATTTGGAGTTTGCGTTTCTCTCTCATCATCATCACGGTGGCTAGGAGATGTTAGCTACCTCGCCTGGTATGCAGGAGGTCGTGGGTTCGATCCAGACCCTGACGCCTGCTTGTATATTTGGAGTTTGCGTGTTCACTCTTCCTGTGGTCACGTGGATTTTTCTCCGGGTCCTCCGTTATTTTCCCTCCATATTCAGAAACATGCGTTTGGAGCATTTGGCTGCTATAAATTTCCACATGATAAACCACTTCTTTTGGCTATCATTACGTGTGGCCAGGTCGCTTCTGAAAAAGAGCTGTATATCCCAGTGGGACTTACTTGGTAAAATATACTTTTTTAACAGTTTTTGTTTTTTTAAGTACCACAACATTACATAGCCCGTCGCCGTACAGCAGGTCAGCCCCGTCGCCTTCGCGTCTGGGGCACTGACCCAAAACCAAACAGAACCGCGCGCCCACGTTGAAACGGAACGCAACGAGCAGACAGTTCAGCTGGCCGCGTTTCCACACCGGTTCTATGGCCGAGAAGCGACCGCAGCGGAAAAACGGACCCCACACCTCCATGCAGTTGTTTTCAAGAAGCTCCCTCCCGCCCCTCTTTAATGCTTCGGAGGTGACTCCAGAATGCCCTGTTATAACTTCACAACGTTACTAACCTTGATGTGCCCCGCATGGCCCGGAGATGTACATCAGCGGCACGCTCGGCAGAGCGACAGCAGCAGTGCGAGGGCCACACACGGTGTGCGTCGTGCGTCATGCAGGAGGTCGATCACAGGCTGCACCAACATGTGTGGCGCACTGCGAGAGATGGAAGTCTGCGAGGCGTGACGTCCGTTTTTCTGACCTGATGGCCAGAAACAAAGGGTGAGATCCGGGAGTTCATTGTGGTAGAACACCGGTTCTTTGGAGACGAAGGGAACTCGTAGACTGGGATTCCATGCAATGGACCCCAGGGTCATCGCCACAAAGCTACGGTGACAGGAGACACTCGCGGCCACATTGGAGAAGCTCGGATACGGAGGAGACACACGACTCCCCTTCCTGGCAAAATCAAAGCGTTTGTCAGCAGTTCTTCAGCATGCAATGAACTATGGCGCACGCGCAGCAGAAAGAAACCCCTGATGTCAACTTGAATCCTGACACGGCCCTGGCAGATTGTCGGCGTGGACTTCTTCAACAACGCAAGCCGAAGATTACCTGCTGATCTTCGACCACTCCTCGGAACTTCTGAGGAAATCGAGTTGTTGCGGCTTCCATGTCACGATCGGACGGAGTCCTCATCAGCAGCGGTGCTCCCGTATGCATTTCAGCGATTCCAGCGATTGCCCGCGGTTGATATGTCGAAGAACCTGAGGAAGAAAGCTAAATGCGAGGGTAACCATATTGCATTAGAGGAAAATGCCAACAGAGGGAACGGATAGCAGCCCATCACAGCACCCGCTCTCTAGAAGGCTGAAGACATGGTTGGCAGCGGCTAACAAATGGCTTGAGCCCCGTGTGGGTACCGGAGAAGCTGTCGAAGCAGGTGCATGATACACCCGCCGGAGACATGCCCGAGTTGAGCATTGGGGAACCTTTCCCACGTGAAGCCGTCGCGCGGAGACAGAGCAGGCCGCCGCCGGGAACTGGGCCGCCCCACTGTGCGTGCGGAGAGCCACGCCGCGCTCGCGCGGACAGCCGCGCCGCGCTTGCACCTCGTGCATGCCAATGGAATTCTCGAGCGCCACACGACCGAGTGGATTTGCAAGCCGCGGAAGGGCCGGCCATGCGGGCCCCGGTGCGCGTGACCCGCACGCGCCAGCCTGCCAGAGGTGCCCACTTGGGCCGGGCCAAGCCCGAAGAGAGGGGGGTTTTGCAGCGAAGGTACCTGACTGTGTTTGGCTTTTAATTGTTCACGTGGAAAGGGGGAGATGTTAAGGAAGAAGCATGGCGCCGCCACTCCGCGTTACGCTCTTGGCTCTGGATGAGGGAGGTTAACCATGGTGTGAAGTCTGACGTCGTTATTTCACGCATCGAGAAAAAATGCTGTACGTCTCGGTTCTGGCTCGGTAAATATCCAGTGGAAAACCACCCATGCCGTGATGGGCCCGTACTGGCTCTGATGTACCAGTGGAAAGGGGTCTGTCTCACCGACGATCAGTATCTCTGTTACTCTGTTTGATTGTGCACTGTGATTAGACCCCAGCGTGAGTATGCAGTTTTGTAGGTGACGGTGTGTGCCTGTGCACATGTGTGCATGCGGTGCCGGATTGCGACTGTGGTCATGTGGTTGTGCAGGTGGATGTGAATACGAGTTTACTGCGAGCGGCTCGTGCTGGAAACCTGGAGAAGGTTCTGGAGCTCCTGAAAGCCGGGACTGACATCCACACAACAAACCAGGTGTGAGACTCACTCACCTGCACTCTCATGCACTCGCTCAGTTAATCACTCACCCACTCATTCACCTGCACACACACTCACTCACTTACTCAATCACTCACTGACCTACTCGCTCAGTTACTCATACACTCACCCAATAGCCCACTGACTAATACACTCACTCGCCCATTCGCCCTATCACCTGCTCACTCACTCACTCGCACACGATGAGCTGCGTGCCTGGTGTTGGGTGATGCTCCGTCGCCGTGTCGCGTTGTTTTGTGCGCAACGCGGGTCGACCCCTTGTCGCTCTCGCGTGGCCTCTGTCACCCTCGCCGCGTGCCGCTCATTCCCACGAGCAGGCGCTGTGTGTGTGTGTGTGACGCTGTGCGTGTGATGTTCTGTGTGTGTGTGACGCTGTGCGTGTGATGTTCTGTGTGTGTGGTGAAGTGCGTGTGATGTTCGGTGTGTGTGTGACGCTGTGCGTGTGATGTTCGGTGTGTGTGTGACGCTGTGCGTGTGATGTTCGGTGTGTGTGTGACGCTGTGCGTGTGATGTTCGGTGTGTGTGTGACGCTGTGCGTGTGGTGTTCTGTGTGTGTGTGACGCTGTGCGTGTGATGTTCTGTGTGTGTGACGCTGTGCGTGTGATGTTCTGTGTGTGTGTGACGCTGTGCGTGTGATGTTCTGTATGTGTGACGCTGTGCGTGTGATGTTCTGTACATGTGTGGCGATGTGCGCGTGATGTTCTGTGTGTGTGACGCTGTGCGTGTGATGTTCTGTGTGTGTGTGATGTTCTGTGTGTGTGTGACGCTGTGCGTGTGATGTTCTGTGTGTGTGTGGCGATGTGCGCGTGATGTTCTGTGTGTGTGACGCTGTGCGCGTGATGTTCTGTGCGTGTGTGACGCTGTGCGTGTGTTCTGTGCGTGTGTGACGCTGTGCGTGTGATGTTCTCTGTGTGTGTGTGTGACGCTGTGCGTGTGATGTTCTCTGTGTGTGTGTGTGACGCTGTGTGTGTGACGCTGTGTGTGTGACGCTGTGCGTGTGATGTTCTGTACGTGTGTGGCGATGTGCGCGTGATGTTCTGTGTGTGTGTGACGCTGTGCGTGTGATGTTCTGTGTGTGTGTGACGCTGTGCGTGTGATGTTCTGTGTGTGTGTGACACTGTGCGTGTGATGTTCTGTGTGTGTGTGACGCTGTGCGTGTGATGTTCTGTGTGTATGACGCTGTGCGTGTGATGTTCTGTGTGTGTGACGCTGTGCGTGTGATGTTCCGTGTGTGTGTGACGCTGTGCGTGTGATGTTCCGTGTGTGTGTGGCGATGTGCGTGTGATGTTCTGTGTGTGTGTGACACTGTGCGTGTGATGTTCTGTGTGTGTGACGCTGTGCGTGTGATGTTCTGTGTGTGTGTGACGCTGTGCGTGTGATGTTCTGTGTGTGTGTGACGCTGTGCATGTGATGTTCTGTGTGTGTGACGCTGTGCGTGTGATGTTCTGTGTGTGTGACGCTGTGCGTGTGATGTTCTGTGTGTGTGACGCTGTGCGTGTGATGTTCTGTGTGTGTGTGACGCTGTGCGTGTGATGTTCTGTGTGTGTGTGACGCTGTGCGTTTGATGTTCTGTGTGTGTGACGCTGTGCGTGTGATGTTCTGTGTGTGTGTGTGACGCTGTGCGTGTGATGTTCTGTGTGTGTGTGTGACGCTGTGCGTGTAATGTTCTGTGTGTGTGACGCTGTGCGTGTGGTGTTCTGTGTGTGTGGCGATGCGTGTAACGATGTGTATATGATGTGCTGTGTGTGTGGTGCTGTGCATGTGATGTGCTGTGACGCTTTGTGTGATCCTCAGAATGGGCTGAACGCGCTGCACTTGGCTGCCAAGGAGGGCCACGTCGCGGTGGTGAAGGAGTTGCTGACTCGCGGGTCAAAAGTTGATTCTACAACCAAGGTGAGCGAGTAGGTGGGTGGGTGGGCGAGTAGGTGGGTGAGTGAGAGAGTGGATGTACAAATGAGTATGGGGATCGGTTGTATAGCGGTGAGTGCACTGCGCTACGAACTTGGTGACCCGAATTCGATTCCCGCTCACAGCCAACACCAGTGACGGTTATCTGAATGGGTCCTGGGCCTCCCCGAGCTCGAATCAGCCTCAAATGAGTACCTGGTGCGGGGTTTAAATATCGCCACTGGGGAGACAAAGGCGGTCGTTCATGGTGTTGGCTACCCACCCCTCATGTGCCGTGCCGGCCTTCATCGGTGCTCACGAACAGCTATATGGGGGATCTAGTGTTTTTTGGGTGGGCGAGTGATTGGGTGAGCGAGGTAGGTGTTTTGTGGTCACCTGGGTTTTGGTCGTTGTGATTAAACAGTCGCTCTGGTAGACCAAGTCGTGCATGTGTCCGTGTGTGTGTGCGTGTGTGTGCGTGCGTGTGTGTGCGTGCGTGTGTGCGCGTGTGCGTGCGTATCTCTCCACAGAAAGGGAACACGGCTCTGCACATCGCCTCGTTAGCTGGGCAGACAGAGGTCGTGACCCTGCTCACCGAACATGGAGCTGATGTCAATGCGCAGTCAGAGGTAATGACATGTGTTTGGGAACGTGTGTGTGTGGGTTTGTGCATCTGTGTGCACATGTGTGTGCGTGCGCCCGTGTGTGTGTGTATGTTCACATGCATGTGCATGTGTATGCGGGTGTCTGTAGGGGGAGCAGTGGTACATCCGTTAGCGCACTGCACTATGAATCCAGCGATCCGAGTTCGATTCCCGCTCACGGCCAACACCAGTGACAATTATGTGAACCGGTACTGGGCCTCTCCTAGGTCGAATCAGTCTCAACTGAATACGAATACGTGGAGCGGTTTGTAAACTTCGCAACTAGGGAGCCAAAGGAGGCCGGGCGTGGTGCTGCTTTTCGTAAGCGCTGACTAACAGCGCTTGCCCCAGCAGCCTCTGTGGGCTACACGGGGGACCTCTGTCTGTATCTCGTGCAGAATGGATTCACGGCGCTGTACATGGCCGCCCAGGAGAACCACGTGGCCGTCGTCACCCACCTGCTGGGCACCGGGGCCAACCAGGCCATCGCCACCGAGGTGCACACACACATGCACATGCATGAGCACACATGCCCAGACACGCGTGCGCGCGCCCACACACACACGCGCACATGCATGCGCCCCATGCATCCGCTGCGGGCCGTGCGGGCCGTGTGTAGTACATAGGCCGTGTGGGCCATGTGTTCTATGTTTCCCATGCAGGCCGTAGGGGCCTTGTGTACTATGTGGCCCGTGCAGGCCTTGTTTATTACATGTGCCGTGTGTACTATGCGTCCCGTGCTTCCCGTGTGCCACGTGTGCCGTGCGTGCCGCTGTGCAGGACGGCTTCACGCCGCTGGCCGTGGCGCTGCAGCAGGCCCATGAGCGTGTGGTGGAGCTGCTGCTGGAGGGCGACGCGCGCGGCCGCGTGCGCCTCCCCGCGCTGCACATCGCCGCGCGCAAGGACGACACTCGCAGTGCCGCGCTGCTGCTGCACAGCGGCAGCAATGGAAGCAGCAGCACCGCGCAGCAGCAGCCAGAGAGCGAGCACGCCAAGGTGTGCCCTCCGCAGAAGCGCCGCGCCGCGCACACCACACACATGAACGCGAGTGAACTGCATCTCTGCGTCTCTCCCTCCTCAAGCATCGCCATCTCTGTCTCTCTCTGCCCCGTGTGCGTGACAGGCCCTGGTGAACCGCACCACGGAGGTGAGTACCCAGCTCGGGGAGCGACACGGACACCCCTTTCCACTGGCACATCCGAGCCGTGCCACTGCTGTCGCACGCGACGAACGAGTCGCATGTAGATGAGGCAGCGGTGGCGCTGTGCCCTCGCCCGCTCGCTCGCTCACTCACACACCCAACCGACCGCTCACTCGCTCGCCTGCTCAGTGCGAGTGGAGTTTGCGTTCTCCCCCCCTGCCCTGTATGGGTTTCCTCTGGGCTGTCTCACGTTTCCCCCTCCAATAGCTAAGCCACCACACCCGGTGGAACTGGGCGCCACACTCTACGAGCGTCCCCGCTCGGTGCCCTTCTGCTCCGGCGTGGCGGGCTGAGCAGTTGTACCCCCCCGCCCCCCTCGGGCCGTGCGGCTCTGCCGAGTCTCCTCCGTAAGCCTGGATGTTGCGGCAAGCACGGATGTTGTGGCGAGTCTGGATGTTGTGGCGAGGCCGGGATGTTGTGGCGAGGCCGGGATGTTGTGGCGAGGCTGCATGTTGTGGTGAGGCCGAGATGTTGTGGTGAGGCCGAGATGTTGTGGGGAGGCTGCATGTTGTGGTGAGGCTGCATGTGGTCCCCTCCCCTGCCCGTGTGGTGGCGCAGAGTGGCTTCACGCCGCTGCACATCGCCGCTCACTATGGCAATGTCAACGTCGCCCGGCTCCTGCTGGAGTGTGGAGCCGACCCCAACTACATGGCCAACGTAACAACCACTACAGCCACCACCACAACTACCACCACTACCACCACAACCACTAGAGCCATCACAACCACTACAGTCACCACAAGTAGCACTACCACCACCACAACCACTACAGCCACCACAACCACTACAGTCACCAACTAGCACTACAGCCACCACCACTACCACCACCAGAGCCACCGCAACCACTATAGTCATCACCACTACAACCGCCACCACAACTAGCACTACCACCACCACAGCTATCATGCGTGGGTGTGTACGTACGTGCGCGTGCATGTGCGTGCACGTGTGCAGAATGGGATCTCTCCGCTGCACGTTGCGGCGAAGCGTGGCCACTCGGAGCTCGTGACGCTGCTGCTGAGCCTGGGGGGCAACATCGACGCACGCACCAGGGTGAGGCTCGCACCGCACCACGCCCACAACACCACACGCACCGCACCACGCCCACAACACCACACGCACCGCACCACGCCCACAACACCACACGCACCGCACCACGCCCACAACACCACAGGCACCGCACCATGCCCACAACACCACACGCACCGCACCACGCCCACAGCACCACACGCACCGCACCACGCCCACAACACCACACGCACCGCACCACGCCCACAACACCACACGCACCACACCACGCCCATAGCACCACACGCACCGCACTGCACCAGGGTGAGGCTCGCACCGCACCACGCCCACAACACCACACGCACCGCACCACGCCCACAACACCACAGGCACCGCACCATGCCCACAACACCACACGCACTGCACCACGCCCACAACACCACACGCACCGCACCATGCCCACAACACCACACGCACTGCACCACGCCCACAACACCACACGCACCGCACCACGCCCACAACACCACAGGCACCGCACCACGCCCACAACACCACACGCACTGCACCACGCCCACAACACCACACGCACCGCACCATGCCCACAACACCACACGCACCGCACTGCACCACGCCCACAACACCACACGCACCGCACCACGCCCACAACACCACAGGCACCGCACTGCACCAGGATGAGGCTCGCACCACGCCCACAACACCACACGCACCGCACCACGCCTACAACACCACACGCACCGCACTGCACCACGCACACAACACCACACGCACCGCACCACAACAACACCAACAACCGCCATTTGCCACTAAGTGGCGGTGACGTCACCATGACGCTTGTGCCAGGCTATGTGCACCCTGAGGCCACGTGAAGTGTCGAACGCCCGCTGGCAGGAGGTCACGGGGCAGACCCAGGTGCTACGGGTCGACTGACTGAGATGACTGGCTGATGCACCACCTGTGCCCCCTACTGTGCCAACCCGCTGTGCTTCAGCCACCCGGCGCTCCGCTCGTTGTGAGCGTCACTCCTCCGCCCTCCTTTGTTGTTGGAGGGCGACTACCTCCAACTGCCCAGTAGCGTCCTTCACGAGCCTGCTCCACAGAGGCCGATCTTGACACCGCTGGTACCAGTCATTGGCAAGTCCACTCAGCTCGACGTCCTCCTGTACCACATCACTCCATCTCTTCTCTAGTCCGTGCCGCGCCTGTTTAGCCCCCTCAATCCGGCCGAACAACAGCTGTTTCGGAATGTGGTGGCTGGGCATGCGGGCTACATGACCCAGCCATCGCAACCTTGCCCGCCGGAGTAGCTCACCGATGGGACCTTGCCCAGATCTTTCAAGGATTTGTGAGCTCCTCACACAATCCAGTCTGGTTAAACCCAGGATGGATCATAGGCAGGCCAGCCTAAATGTTTCTAACCGGCGAAGATGTTCCATTAGGGGGGTCCATGTTTCGCAAGCATAGAGAAGGGAGGGAATGACCGTGGCCAAGAAGACCTGAAGCTTAGTGCGGAGCGAAAGACCAGGTAGCTTCCACACAGCGTTACGCAACCGATGAAAAGATATTGCCGCTCGACTGATTCGGAGTGAGACCTCTGCTGTTAAACTGGAGCCGGTCATAAGCACACTGCCCAGGTATGGGAAACTCTCAACTCTCTCCACAACTGCCCCATCACCGATTGGGAGTTGTGGGGGGTGGAGTGTCCGATGGTACAAATACCCAGGCAGGTGCTTAGTTTTGGTGGGGCTGATGGTAAGGCCCCACCTCTTAGTGGCACGCTCAAGCCTCAGCAGCAGCATCTCCAACTCCTCCTCTGAATGAGCAGCTATTACCAAATCATCAGCATACATAACGTGATTGAGCAATAGGGAGCCATCCCTTGACCGCACCCGGGCATCGATCAGCCTCCCATTATATATGTACCATATGGAGATTCCCCCGGTACAGCTATTGAAGGCTTCACGAACTACGTGGTCAAAATAGATGTTAAATAATGTGGGAGCCAGAGGACATCCCTGTCGCACCCCAAGGTGTACGTAGTTTTACCCGGGCCCGCTCACCATCATGAAGGTCTTTAATGATCGTGAGCAGAGGGTCAGGTACTCCAAAAGCACGAAGAACAACCCAGAGCCCAGGCCTACTGATGGTATCATAGGGCTTGACCTTCACCTCTGCTGTAGCAGAGGGACAGAAAATATGGCATCTGTGCAGGACCGCCCTTTCCTGAAACCGCATTGGGGCTCCGCAAGCCTCTCCTCAGCGTGCCTGGCAAGGCGATGTTGAATAATCCTTGCCAGGACCTTTCCCGGCACACTGAGGAGTGAGATGCCCCTGTAGTTGTTACAGTCTGTGCGGTCCCCCTTCTTAAAGAGGGGGACCACCAGGGCATCCTTCCAATCCTGCAGAACCCGTCCAGTGGTCCAGACTGTTGTTATGATGTCATATAGGGCAGTCTGTGCACAAACGCCACCCTCCCTCAGCATTTTGCTTGGGAGATCATCTCTGCCCGCTGCCTTTCCTGGTCTTAGACTCCGGATCGCCTTCAATACTTCCTCAACAGATGGCACCTCAGCCAGCCACTCACAGGGGGTGACTTCTTCCAATATTTGAGGCACCGCAGCCTCAGCAGGGTCATCCTCACTTTGTGCCACGATGTTTTCCTGGCTGAGGGATTTTCTCTCCCCCAGGACCTCACAGAAATGCTCAGCAAATCTGCAAACCTGTTCCTGGGGGTCAGAGATTGGATCACCGTTTTGTCCCCTAATGATGGTAATAGGTGTGGCGCTGCAGATTACTTTTTTGATGGAGTTAAATAGAGATTTGTGATCACGGGCCACTGAGGCAGACTCCATCTCCTCAGCAACCCGTGACCACCACCCATCCTTGCAGCGCCTCATGGCTCTCCGACCCTCCAAGTGAAGGCTGCGGTAAGCCCCCTCATTCTCTGATGTGGGATTCTGTAGCTGATGACAGTGGGCCTGTCGCTTTTTCTCAACCATCCTGAACACCTCCTCTGTCAGCCAGGGTCTCTGGGGAGGTCTGGACCGTGTACCCAAAGCAGCTATTGCAGCTGCATGAGTCAGTCCTAAACCTCACCCATTGATCTCGACATCAGGAGGAGTCGGGGACGATGCCAACCCCAGCCACAAGCGATGATGAAATTTTCGCTTGCAACTTTCATCAGATAACTGAGACCAGGCCACTTTAGGTTGGAATGGGGTCCTGGGTGTACACCCACCACCGGAGTGGAAGAATGGCAGGCGCATCTTACAGATGACTAGTCGATGGTCAGAGGGCAGATCAGCTCCACGGTAGGTCCTGGTGACAAGGACATGGGCTCGCATCCGCTGGTTCGTCACGATGTAGTCCAGGCAGATGTTCTTCCTTGGACCTGGCATGCATCCATGATGTTGTGTGGATGCGCCGATGCCGGAACAGCGTGTTGGTAATTACAAGCCCATGGGCTGCACAAAAATCTAGCAGCCTCCTACCGTTGTTATTGAGCTGATCTGGCCCATGCCCTCCAATCACTCCAGACCAGGTGCCAGCATCATGACCAACTCGGGCATTGAAGTCACCCAACATGATGACTCTATCCCGAGGGGCCACTTTAGCCAGCACCTGTGACAGGAGGTCATAGAAGGCATCTGACTCATCGGCTTTGCCTGCATTCCTCCACGGATGTTCATCTTCGGTGGGGGCATAAGTAACCACGACCACCATTGCTCGCCTCCGGTTGATGGGAAAGCGAGCCCAAAGTAGCCTGGGGCTTACAGCTTCCCACACCTCACCGCCACGCTCCCACGCCCCCTTCATTCTTTTGTTCAAAAGAAGACCCACACCCTGTTGTTTGGCAGTCTGCTGCCCCGAGTAGAGGACTGTCCACCCCTCATGGTGGCAGGAGCCAGAACCGGTCCACCGGACCTCATGAATGCCACGTAGATCCAGGCGGTACCGGTCCAGCTCCCGACAGAGGAGTGGCAGCCTCTCCTCCACAGTGAGCGTTCAAACATTCCACGTGGCCACCCGTAGTGGTTTTTCGTTGTTTCTGGAGGAGCCCCGAGGGTAGATATTCAATCTCCTGGCTCTGCCAATTGGGGTTTGGCCAGGAGATATCATAGACGCCTGGCCCCCCCGGGGCCTCAGGCACAAGCTTATTAGTTATATACTTAATTCGCGGTTTAGTGGTAATTAATTGAAGGTGGAGGGGTTACCAGCCCCTTGCACCCGTCCAGAGCCCCCGTTTCGCCCCTGTAGTGGACACAGATGCCATGAGGGGAGGAGCCAATCGAAATTGGACCTCCCCCCACACCACTGTCCACGACAGAGTTGCCCGTCCGGCACCGCGAGGAGGTAGGGGGTTGTTTTCACCGCACCACGCCCACAACACCACACGCACCGCACCACGCCCACAACACCACATGCACCGCACTGCACCAGGGTAAGGCTCGCACCCCACCACGCCCACCACACCACACGCACCGCACTGCACCAGGGTGAGGGTCGCACCGCACCACAACACCACACGCACTGCACTACACGCGCCACACTCTACTGCAGCGTGTGTTAGGGTGTGCGGTGGCATGCTGGTGTTGGCGTGTGTTGGTGAGTATTAGTGTGTTAGTCTGCTGATGTTGGCGTGTGTTTGTGAGTGTTAGTTTGTGTGTGTTGGCGTGTGTTAGTGTGCTGGTGTTGGCGTGTGTTTGTGAGTGTTAGTTTGTGTGTGTTGGCGTGTGTTAGCGTGCTGATGTTGGCGTGTGTTTGTGAGTGTTAGTTTGTGTGTGTTGGCGTGTGTTAGCGTGCTGGTGTTGGTGTGTGTTTGTGTGTGTTAGTTTGTGTGTGTTGGCGTGTGTTAGCGTGCTGGTGTTGGCGTGTGTGTGTGAGTGTTTGTGTGTGTTGGCGTGTTAGCGTGCTGGTGTTGGCGTGTGTTGGTGAGTGTTAGTTTGTGTGTGTTGGCGTGTGTTAGCATGCTGATGTTGCCGTGTGTTTGTGAGTGTTAGTTTGTGTGTGTTGGCGTGTGTTAGCGT